AGAAGAAGAAGAAGAAGAAGAAGAAGAAGAAGAAGAAGAAGAAGAAGGGAAAAAAAAAACAGCAAGGGAAGAAGAAGAAGAAAAATAAGAAAGAAAAAAAACAGCAAAGAAGAAGAAGAAGAAAAAAAGAGCGAAGAGGAAAAAACTGGGGCCGGAGTTACCTGGACATATCGGCGGCGGAGCGCTACCGGGAGCGCTCTGCCGCCCGGCGTTTGGACGCGACGGCGGGCCTCGCGGTGCGGGCAGGAACGAATAGCGGTTGGGCGCTTCAACGGCAAGATTGACGCGATGAGGAAGTGGGAGTGGGATCATGGGGCAGGGAGGAGCGCGTCTGGACGTCGTTGGGCAGCGTATCTCACGTTAAGGTCTTGGTGGAGAGGAATACTGGGGGAGGGAGAAAGGGGAGGTAGGCAGGGCTCCATGAGTTGGAAGGAGAGTGCTACAAGGAAGAAGGGGGGAGGAGGAATGCGGGAGAAAAGTTTCCTATAGGTGGGTGACATCTGCAATAAGGACACCCTCTCATCTCTTTGGGCTACCTGCGAGGGGCGGCTGGCGGGCTCAGCGGTTTAGTCTCGCGACGTGGTTTGGTATGTTGTGAAGGCAATCCTGGCTGCGGTCCTGTTATCATCATCGTTCGGTCTATTTGGTGGGTTGAATGGTTGTCAATCACAGGCGTCCGAGTTGCTTGAGAGCCGATGATGCGAGGAGGTGAGGTTTGGAGAGAGGGGGGGTGCATTTAGGGATGTCAAGGGTAAGTTGGGTTTCTTCATTTTGACCTTGATGAGATCTCTAACGAGGAGATTCTTAGATATATTTTGTTTGTTTTGAGACCTGATTTTTAACCCTGAAGTTTAGCATAATCAATGATTCTGATTAATCCTGACCATACTTGCGGCGCATCGCGATGCGCTGCACTGCGCACGTGCGCCGCACCGCGCATCCCGCACGACGCGCGCGCACTGCATGCGGCGCACCTCCAAAAATGGGGGTAAAAAAAAAAAGAAAAAAGTTGTGAGGGGCGGTAGTAGACCCGGCCCCCTGCTCGCGTAAAATAAGAAATGGGCAGCCAAATTTTTTTTGGAGGCCGCGCATTGGCCTGAAAGCTTTTAGTAACCTGTAGTTTGGGTAACACTCTGTGTGTATGGTAGGGTTATTGCAGTCTGTATGGTAGGGTTCTTGCAGGCCAGATTCAGTCATGATGAGGGTCGCGATTTCTCAAAACGTTCTCTTCTTATTACTTCTGAAGTAGAAAACGACGGAACTGACAGCCGTTTTTCCTGGAATGTTTTTTTTTTTTAATAAAACGTAAAGGAAGAAAATCAGAATTTCTTTGCACGAGTGTCACCCGGCACGTCCAACCTGTCAGAACCTCAACGGTAATTGCAGTCTGTATGGTAGGGTTCTTGCAGGCCAGATTCAGTTATGATGAGGGTCGCGATCTAGTATTACTTCTGAAGTAGAAAACGAGTTTAAACGACGGAACTGACAGCCGTTTTTCCTGGAATTTGTTTTTTTTTTAAATAAAAGGAAAAAAACGTAAAGGAAGAACATCAGAATTTCTTTGCACGAGTGAAGCCCGGCGTGTCCAATCTGTCAGAACCTCAACGGTAATGTTCACCAACGGGCTCGCTGCACTACTCTCGACATGCACAACAAGACATATATGGCAATGTATCTTTCCATGTTCAAGCGGAGGATTCAGTCTCATTTGTTCAGAGATTCTCGAAAAAAAAAAGAAAGGTCCCAGAGATACGTTACGTGCTTACCTGATTCATCGGCCCTTCGCTCTCCACCACCCAACGTATGAATGAATCTTCC